GCTTGGCCTTGCCCGCCCGGGCAGCCCCACGTGAACACCCGCAACATCTAAAGGCTTTCAAGCACCGCTCTGCCATGCTGCTGCTGTGAACTTGGAGCCTCCATCCCAGACTGTGGTGACAATTTTGAGTAATTTCAATTAAGGCCATTTCAGGGAGCTCGTCCCTGCCCCACTTTGGCTGCTACAGTTTGTTTCCTAAGAGGAGAACAACGGCAGAGGTTTGCTCTCCTGCCAGCAGCCCCCTGAGAGCCCTCGGGATCCATGCGGCCATTGGCAGGGGAAGAACTTGTGCCTTCTCCCTGCGTCACCTTCCCAGCCGCCCTCCTGGGCTTCAGCATTTCCAACCTCTGCTCCTTCAGCTGCTGAGGGAGAAAGACTAAAAAAAGGCAGAGCTGCACGTCTTTGCAAAGCACAGCTGTCAAGTAATACAAGCCCAGGCTTTTACTGGAGAAATGTGAGTCTAATTAATAAAGCTGCACTGGCTAGCACACAGGAATGCTTGCTGAGCACCTGTAGGTATAAACAGGAATATAAACTTCCACAAATACAGCTCAGATCAGAAACAAATGGATTGTTGTCTTTCACAAAGAGCTCTCCCAACCTGGAATACTTTCAGTGCTGCAGGAGGGCAGCAGGCTGTAATTCTATCGGCCCCTTCCCCGACCAGTAAAACCCTCCCTGCATTATGAGGCAGGTGCCACTGAATTATGAAAACTCGCTTTATTTCAGTCTCCTCGCTCAGCCCACGATCTGCAGGTTTGCAAAAACATTTCCCCCACAGGAGTTCTAATAACGCCTTCCTCAGCCACCACAATTAGCTGTTTACCCCCCAAACACGACTTCTTTGGCACGACTCTTGCAATGACCTCACTCGCTTTCCATGCGGGAAAATTTCATGTTTGGGAAATTAGATTATTGGAGGATTTACTTTTCCTTAATAGTGAAAAGCAGCCCTTGGCCTGCTGAGCAGCTGCAGCGGCACGGCGAGGGGCGGCTGCGTTTGTGGACAGACTCCTCCTCCGACTCGTGGGCTTCTCCAGCTCTTCGGTGGCCACACCAGCGGGACCGGCTCAGAGCAGCAGCTGGCGCGTCTTCTCGTATGTGCCCAGGAAGATGAAGCCTCCCAGGCTGATGGCTGCCATCCGTGGGACAACACCTGCGAACAAGCTGAAGGCAGAGGAAAGGCGGTTGCAGAGGAGGAGCGGGCACTGCATGGCTGGCCACAGGGGCGTTGGAAAACAAAGCTGAGAAAAATTGTCTCGTCCGGTTTTCTTAAATCCCACCCCCCTGCTCACTGGAGGAACCTGTGGGGACTTCCCTAACAGAGCACTACCAGGCCTTGGGACTTTCAGCCCCTCTCCCCACACTCCTTGGGAACGGAAGCTACGGTGCAGGAGGCTACGGGGCCGCACTGCGGAAGGAGGAGCTCGGACACAGCCCCACGAAGGGCTGCGGGCAGATGGGAAGGGTCACATCCCCCACCGCCCCCACCCAGCTGTGGCAGAGGGACTCCCCCTCTCTCTGCCAGGAGCTCCCCCAGCGCAGAGACAGCCCTGCTCACCACAGCAGCTCATTCCCAGTAACGTCCTTCAGGGACCAGTGGGAAGGGAGCTGGAGGTTCAGCCACCACGATCTTCAGGTGCTGATCCTAAGAGTTGTTAGCAGAGGAAACTCGTGCAAAGCTCGACACACCTAAGCTCACAGTTGGTTTAACACCTTCAGGATAGGCCAGTGTATCCTCCCAGAGGATTAGAGGCCTCCTTTGTTGCAAGCTGGAATCTGTTCAGCATCCTCCGCTGACCCATCGCCCGCACAGCGGGAGCCCTTTGCAGCACGACCTGGCGGAGCTCCGTGGGGACGCTACTGTCCTCAGCTTTCTGGACGCTGCGTGGTCCCTGCCCGAGCATGTCCACGTACGAAGCTGCGATCCCCGGTGAGACCAGGCTGCGGGGGAGACGCCTGCAGTCCCAGGGCCACCCCGGAGCTCCCTGCCCGCGCCCGGCTACTCGTGCTGCGCCGAGGAAACCTCTGGCTGCAATAACTCTGGTTGTTGTTGTAATGAGCTTTGCTAAGGAGCCTGGAGCACACAGGCAGATGGAAACATTTTATGGCTTTACTAGACAGCAATTGGGTCTATTACCATAATGACAGCTTTAAAACAGAGTAATTTGTACAAGGCATGTACGGACAGAGCGCCGATAGGGTAAATCCTACGGCACAGCATCGCTCTCGCACCATCCTTCTCTCGCCCAATTAGGCAGCCCTCATTACAGGAGCAGCAGCAGACACTCATTTACAGACCAGCCCGCTCGAGACACAGCTATTACACAAACAGGGGCAGATAACTGAGTTACCCAGGAGCTGCATCCCTGGCAACCTCCATTACCAACCATCACTTCCAAGAATCCTGGCCCTGCTCCCCCCAGTTTCCCTTCCCCACCTGCCACCCGAGGCCTCTCCAACCCACGCGGGCTCCCTCCTGCAGGAGGGCAGAACCAATCGGCTCCAGGGCTGCCCTGAATCCGGAGAGCCGAGCTCTGCTGCAGGCCTGATCCAAACCGGTCCCTGCTGGGCCACATTTGCCCACATCAGCAAATGACATAAACTGTTTTTTTTCCTGCTGGCCCCGTCAGAAGCTGCTTTGGTGTGCACGTGTCTGCTGTTCGTGCTTGCTGTTGGCACAGATTTCACCTGGCACCCTGCCACTCTTCTCCCCTTGCCTGGGTTTTCCCTTTTGCTTCAGCAACTCTCCCGGTTACTGGTTGGATCCAGCACCCAGGGCTGGAGGGCTTCACTCCGTCTCCTCACCACCGACAGCGCGTCAGTGACTGGCAAAGACCAGACGCCGGCTTTTTGGTTCAGACACATCACGCTTTCCCCTGCCACGCAACGAACAAGCTTGACAGGAATCATAAAATCTGGAAATCGTGTTCAAAGCCCATGGCAAGGCCTGGATGCACCATGTGCCCTCCCCAGCCGCGGGCATGTCCTTTGGGATGCAGCTCTTCCATCCAGGGTTCCCAGTCTGGCAATACACCTACGGTCCTAGCAGCAAAGGTGATGTTTTGGGGCAAGAACTCAGCAACCCAAATTCTTTTCAACAGAGACTAACCAGGACCTCTGAAGTTAGCCTTTGGAAAATGCCCTGCAGGGCCTGGGCAGAGCCTAGAGGGGCCAGTGCTGAAAAAGGCCCTGTTGTGCTCAGTCACAAAACCTCGAATTTAAGCTCTGGACCAAAGAGGTGGCCATGCCGAGAAAAAACAAACGCTTTTATCTGACTACAGCTTTGCACGGAGCTCGCTCCTGCGGGCAGCTCGTGTTTGGCAAAGCAGCAAGCCCTGGGCACAGGGGCTGCTTTTGGCACCAGCATCATGGAGATCAGGCCCCAGAGCACGGTGCCCCGCCACGTCCACCCTGACGGGAGAAAAGCACAAATGGCTGCTCTGTCCCCAGCTACACATGACCTGGGACAAGCCATCACACCAGATTTATCGGTCAAATAACCCCCAATTTTTGCACCCATGAATCATGAGGCTCAATCTGTGGCTTTCCAACACCATCAACTCCTTGCATGAAAAGCAGTCACATGAGACATAAACCTGCTTTCATGTGATGGCTCCTCTGCTCCACCACCGAGAACAAACTGGTGCACGGATCCGCTCACCTCGTCCCTATCCTACCTCCCGTGGCGGCCCGGCTCTCTCTGGACAGAAAGGGACGTGAAATCTCTTGGCGTGAACCGGAGGGATTTACTAGGTGCAGACCAGGAAGCTAAGCCCTGCGCTCTGGTTTTAATAAGGTGGCAATAAGCGTCTTTCTGCCTTCAGAATTCCTCTTCTTCAAGTACGAGATTTATTAGAGGAGCCATAAATCATTTTATGTTGCAACTGGCCAAAAAAGTCCGACATTTTTATTGTTTTTGATTAATAGATTTATAATTGGCAGCAGGCATGGCAGCCCCTGCGTTTATTTTTCCCAAGACTTTCTTCCTTTTCCTTGCAGCTGACGCAGCTTGGCCTCCTTTGCATGTTACTTTTTCTCCAGATCGCTTATTGTTTTGATTTCAATCAAACTGTGTTCCCTTTGGTCCTAGGCCATGGGTACTATCTTTAGGCAGAGTTTAATTTTGGATCATTTAGAACTAAAGGGCACTGCTGAAACACCCTGAAAGAACACAAACATAGATTTTTACTTTCTGCTGCTGGCTGGGGAAAGGAGGAGGTTTCTCCAGCCAAACCCAAGCCTCTTCACACCCCTCAGAGCTCAACTGCCGTCGGCAGCAGATGTGGCCTCGCTTCTCCCAGTCCCTTTCAAAACACGCCCTAGAATCCACCAAGCCGTGTAGGACCCAAAACTCATCCAACACCAGGTCACCCCATCATCTCCAAGAGCCAACCTGAGACAACCCATCTCTAAGTGCTGCCGGAGGGCACAGCTGGACGTCTTCCTGGAATCGGTGTTCAGGAACTTCCTGCAATTTGTTTTGAATTATTTCCCACATGTGTAGAAAGAGGATTGAACTTTTATGAGCTGGGTGAGCAGAGATCAGATGTTAAGAGAAAACTGCCCCCCACAAAGCTGCGATGTGAGTGCTGCTTCGAGCAACACTTTACAAATGTTAAAACAGTGCCCTGAAAGTATCGGCCACATCAAATGGATTAAAAACCTATGAGAAATGACAGCAAAAATCCCCAAGAAAAGCTTCAAAAAAAGCCACTGTTTGTCTTCCAGGCCAAGTGCAGGTGGGACACAAGCCCTACCAAAGGAAACACAGGCTGAACGTCATGGACTGGAGGAGTTATTTAAGAAGCCAATAACTGGTATGAGCCACACACTCAGAGAGGACAAGGTAGCATAAATGAAGCATGTCTCCAAAAAGGAATAACAATTTACAAGTTCGTGACACCTCAAAATGTTCTACAAATGCTAGCAGAGGACTTTTTGTTCACAACAGAAGAGTAATTCTCCATCTCAGGACTGGGCAAAGTGAGGCAGTTAAGAGACCGAATTCACGACCTCAGAGAAGCTGCTTCAGCTTGTCCCTACAGGCAGCACCACGCTGGCATCTCCTGCTCCCATCGTACTTCACAGCAAGAACAGTGAATATAAAAGAACAGAGGAGACCTTGATGGTTTTTTAAAATTGGTAGGACATGGCCAGGAGGAGATGGCTGCCATGCTGGCCTTCCCTGACACCTCAGGAGGGGCAGATTCACACGCCTCAAGATGAAACTGCGGTACTCACTGCTGCAAGATGTGGGTGCCTCAACTTTAAACGGATACAAAACCCAAATTCACATCTTCATAGAGAAAAGTCCATCACAGGTTACTAAACATAAAGTCACTTTCGCCTCAAGCCTGGAGCTACATTCAGAGATTGTACCCCGGATCTACTCCCAGTAATGTCCCGTTTCTGTGCTCTCCCCTGGACACTGCTCCCAGCCAGCGCTACGGTGAGGACACCAGACCTCCCTGGAGGGACTCATTCTCAGGCACCTGAGAGCTGCTCCCTGGACACGTGTACAGCAACTGAAAGTCTCTTCTGTATTTAAATATAAGCAGATCATCCCGTCCTCTCCTGCCCCGACATACACAGAGATACAACACCCGAGATGCAGCACATCCTTACCCTGACAGGCCTTGTGTCCTCCAGATGCCACGGAGAGCAGTCAGAACATTCCCACTAGCGTTGCTGGAACCAGCCTGCACCACAGAAAGAGAGAGTTGAAATCTGTTGGCAGAGTGGTTTAGTTACTTACTGCGCTCCCTGTCCCTAGTTAGTGCTACTTTACAGGAATTACAGACATCCTAATGACCTCCTCAGCCCAGGCACAGGCAAAAGCTCTTTGTCTCCAGGAATGAGACAAAGGGCAGGAAGGGAAACCAAGGCACAGAAGAACAAAACAATCACTCCAAGATCACAGAACGGGTTAGTTCAGAATTCAGAACTGGGTATCCAGTCCCTTCGCACTGCAAGAGCTACTCACTGCAAGAGGACGGCAGCCTTGAGATTGACTTTAAAAAAACCCTACAAGTAACATATTGCACACGAAAATTGCCTTAAGTGCAAAGCAGAGAACAAACAGCAGCACCGCACACAATTAAATAACACACATGATCTAGTTTGTGTGAGATGACTATTATAAAGACACATAGTCTTCGAATAGTGTCGGCACACCTCAGAACACTGTTGTTCCCTTACCAATGCTGACCTGGTAGGCAGCAGACATAAAGCAAAACCCAGTTCCTACAGATTTGTCACCCACACTATCCAAAGGTGAAGAAGGTGCAGCATGCACAACACCCAGCAGCGAGAGACACGCCACAGAGCAACGTGGTGAGCTCAGACACGTGTGGCTCGGCTGAAGAGGTTCATGTCGTTACCAAGAAACATGAGCAACTGGGTAAAAAAACACATATAGAAGCTGCAGGATGCCTGACCTTCACCAACACCACAGCCCTTTTCAGGGCAGGGAAAGGCTTTAGGAACATCTGCCTGCTGAAGGTCAGCAGGATGATGATGGGAACACGAGACTTATTAGCAATTTAATTACTGATATTACAAGTAATCTTCCTTCTGCCCTGGCTGGAAGATATAAGCCACCACAATCTCTGTGGCTCAAAATTTTAGGATGGAAAATCCAGCGTGAAGTCCTCTTCAGAAAAGACACACACACTTTCAAGCTCAACATTTATCAAAAAGCCAGGAATAAATCCCCGATGGGCAGTTTAAACTTTGGGTGTCTGACTCTGCTACGATTTTCTCCTAAAGACACTGCATAAGACTCTGGAAGTCTTGGACGAGCACAAGACCCTCTCAGACAACAATTCTGGGAAAGGACACAATGATTTCATTAGTTCTGCGTGCAGTGCCTGTTCACATCTAATCCTGCCTTTGACCACAAGAGCAGAAATCATCACTAATAGTGCTGGATTTCATTCTGTAATGACCATACAGAAACCCTGGAACTACCCGAGCCATTCACCTGTGTGTCTGCTGGCCTCCTTCGCTCTTACCTTTGCCAACATAATTCTCGTCTTCGCTACATCAAGAGGTGTGGTGACTGCAGCTGCAAATCCACCTGAGCAAAATAAAATACCAAACACAAGTGAGACATTGTCAGATGAACACGAACGCCACACTGCCTGTAAGTCCCATGGCTGTGGTCAACACTGCTCCACTATTAATGCCTGGACAACGTGTTTCCTCACGTCAGAGTCCAGGTACATTTGTCAAAGGTCTGTACACGGACACAGAGTGTTTTATTCCTGCATGTTGACTTAAGGGCACAGCTCTGTACCAGTTAACTGTAAATTCAACCATCCCCATGGAGGCTACTGTCCTTTTGTTTTGGACTCTGGATGTGTATGAACATGTGAAGGTCGTAAGGATATTGGATTTCACTTCCAACATCTGCAGGCAAGTCTGAAAGGAAGGTAAATAAGCTTGTCACACTGTGTTCTGCCTTCAGAATTAAAGTCTGACCATTCAAACGCTAGACAGGCACAGAGGAAAGATGCTCTGCATCTGGAACATCCTTCATGGGCAAAGCTATCCCCAAGAGACTGACAGGCTGGATCTGGACTTCAACTGTTAGATCTAGGACTCTGTTTCAAGGAAAAAAAATAGGTCAGTGTTAGGGATGGAGCTCATCTCCCAAAGAATGAAATCAGCTCCGTTTTGGATAACACAAATGTGAAGCTACCCAAGAGTCTTTAGAAACTGCCAGAAGTCTGCAGCCACAAGTGCCATCTTCCCCTCACGGGCATTTTTATTCTCTCTAATCACTCCCAAACTTCATCTGTGGAGGTCATTACTTCCACTTGGAACAGCCAGCTCAGGTGTGGCTTTCCTCCTGAAAGCCAGAAATCTTCAGCTTACCCATCTGCACGTCTCACCCAGAACGTGTGTGTGTCTGTCTTCCTATTTTAACCCTGCGGCTACAGTCTGGCCTCTTGTGCTACCTAGGGACCAGCTTTGTGGCATTTTCTCCCAGAATCTTATTCCCTTTGCCTCATTTCCCCATCCTAAAATTAACTCTAATCTCTCTCTCCCTCCTCTGTTCACAATATTTCAAGCAAGAAAATCATGTTGAGGAAGAGCCAAAGTGAAGGAACCTTTTCAAATGCAGAAGGCAGCCAGCAGTAAGTAAAAAAAAAGAAAGGGAAGTAAAGGGGGAAGAAAAGAGAGAGAGTTGTTCTGCAGTCTGTCCTTCTTCTTCCTCCTGTTTTTTCTTCTGGAGCTTGTATAAATCCTGTATCTAGTACAACAGGGAACAAAGTGACTCCAAAAACTGAAGCCTACACAGTACCCAGGGAATAAGCTAAAAATAATCTATTTTTCTGTTCCAAGTTTTATGGAATGTAGAAAAATTTATGTCTTTTCTTGGGATGGGAGAGGGGAAAAGTGTTTCTTCTAAAATCTGTAAAGTAATGAAAAAATCCATCTTCCCCCACTGGCTCGTTTTTTCTACCTGCACCTCCCTCTCTCAACCACCTTAGGTTTAACATATTAAAACCCTGCTTTATGTCAGAAAGGAAGTCAGGCCAGCTGGCACTCTATGTTGGCTTCTTACAGTTAATTAAGAAATGTCCCGTGACAGCTCTGGAGTTGTGGTAAGGCCCATGTGCAGTCCCTTGGATCTCAAATAAGACCAGCAGACAAGGCGAGTCAGCAAACAGTCCAAAACTCCAGGTTTAGGAGCAGCTTCTGCTCACGTAAGGTTGGCCCATCTGGTTCACGCTGCCGGAAGCTTTCTAGCAGTGATACCTCACCAAGAAGCAGAAAAATGGGCTGTATTCAAGAAGCTGAAGCAGAAACTATAAGCAAGTTAAAACTAAATTCCATCCCATTCTTGGACCTTCTTTAAGGTCAGAAATCTTTTTATCATGAGCCAGTTTTTGAGTAAGTGACCCAAAGGCTTTGAGAGAACCGTCTGGATAGAAAATTCAGGACTCATGTCAGCAATGTATTTTTAGAACAGTAAAAATAATCTCCATGGAAAATAGTGGCTTTACGAGTCTGGATGTAGAAGTCCTTCCTTTGTCCATGGACCAAGATAAAATTAAACAGCGAACCACATGGCTGTCAGGCCCGCATCAGGCAGAAAAAATCTCTGTGCATCACTCAGCCAGAGAGTTGATGGTAACACTTTAATCAGGCTAACTTATTTCCCTTATCAGATCCCTGTAATTTTTTTATGCATTTGTTTCTAACAGTTTCTTATTGGCAGAAGCTTCAATCTTGGCTGACACAAGCGATTAGAACAAGCACAATCTATCCTGATGTGATGTTCCCCAATCCTTATCTGAAAGGTTTAATCGAGGCTGATTGGTTTTCATTTTTCCCCAGCTCACATCTGGATTCCACAGACTCTTTTGTTATTAATATTTCAATGTTTCATTTTCCATCACTGGAAAGTATTTGGTACAGATTTACCAATCAATTTAGAATGACAACAGCAACAATAAAATGCTTCATAAGCACAACAAGCAGCAGGACAGCAGATAAATTAAATGCAAATTTGTATATGCTTGACAAAAACACAAGATTAAAGCTAGCATTTGTTGGGAACTACATTTTACTGAAGGCAGCAAGTCTGACAAAATGAATTTGCTCCAGCCTTAACCCTAAACATGCAAGGTAAATTTAGAGTGACCTCTCCAACATTACGACACAGGTATCTGAGAACAGGCAACAGCACAAGCAAGGTCCTGCTCAGTCCCACCTACTCTAGTTGACTGTAGTGGAAAATTCATCACCCGCCTTCCAAGAAGTTACAATGGGCACTACATTCATATGTGAGCTGAGCAGCAAAATTTTACCAAGCTCAGGGTGTTAAACAGAAAATCCCTCTACTACTCACAATTTCCCAGTGACCAATTCTTGATGGAAGTGCTAGTGACAGACATCTGCAGAGAATGATTTACCTTTATTTGGCCATAAGAATAAAGTCTTGAAGACTTAAGATATTCTCCTAGGCTCTAGCTGGTATTTCTTACCCATTTTAGCTGACATATGCAAATAAAAATTGAGAAGCATTAGAACATAGAAAGTAGCCCTGAAGAGAAGGATTTAGGGGTGTTGATAGACGAGAAGCTCAACATGAGCCGGCAGGGCGCTCATGCAGCCCAGAAGGCCAACCGCATCCTGGGATGTATCAAGAGAGGCGATGATCCCCCTTTTCTCTGCTCTTGTGAGACCCCACCTCGAATACTGCGTCCAGTTCTGGTGCCCCCACCATAAGAGGGACGTGGATCTGTTGGAGCGTGTTCAGAGGAGGCCACAAGGATGATCCAGGGGCTGGAGCAGCTCTACTATGAGGACAGGCTGCAGTAGCTGAGACTGTTCAGTCTTGAAAAGAGAAGACTTTGGGGGGACCTAAGAGCTGCCTTCCAATACCTGAAGGGAACCTACAGGAAGGCTGGGGAGGGACTTTTTACAAGAGTGTCCACTGATAGGACAAAGGGAAATGGGTTTAAGTTGGGGGAGAATAGATTTAGATTAGACCTTAGGAAGAAATTCTTCAGTACGAGGGCGGCAAGACTTTGGGATAAATTGCCCAGAGATGTTGTGGCTGCCCCCTCCCTGGAGGTGTTCAAGGCCAAGTTGGATGCAGCCTGGAGTATCATGATCTGGTTGAGAGGTGTCCCTGCCCATGACAGGGAGGTTGGACTAGATGATCTCTAAGGTCCCTTCCAGCCTAGGCCAGTCTAGGATTCTATGACATACCTCACCTGACAGCAAAATACAACTCTAGGTCCCTGCTGTAAGGTGGCTGCCTGCAGAATTTGCTGCTGCTATAGGAAAATGTTTCACACATGCTTTGACACACCCCTCAAATAAAATTCCTAGGAAGGAAAGGCTAGTTTCTTTTCAGTCCCTGTATTATTTTTTTTCTCTGTATCATTTTAATTTCTCACCATTTCTAAAGGGTTCAGGAAACCCTTCTGGCCATCACACAGGGGCTCCTCCTGATTCTGCGTTTCTGTGATCTAGCCAGACCCCTGGCACTCTTCTGCAACACAAGCCCAGTTCAGTAGGTCAAGTTCGTTTTGAGAGATGGGAACTTGCACTTAATTAATAACTGTGTTTGAATTACCTCACCTCAGGCAAAGAAAAAAATCCAGGCTAAGCTGTACAATAGTACAGCAATAGTACTGTCTTCCTTACTATTTTCTGCATTAATATCTGAAGGTTACCCAGGACTGATTCCTGGAACTGAATCCCAAATCTGAGTTGAAAAAACGAGTCACACAGATCCAACACCGAATCCCACAGCATCCTCCTGCACTGACTGATTTCCAAGTTCACAAATAGTCTTTTTCAGAATTCTTCAATCAATCAGTTCTTATTTGAACTTCTATATTATCGATATCATGTTAAATTTTTTTAAGAGGAAGTTTATTCTTTATCACTGTGGGAACACCACCTGCCAATGGTAGAGCAAAGTGACCCAAGAACCTCTTAAAATTTCAGGAGAAACACCAAGGGGCAAAGCACTGTTCCTCCAGCAATTTAACCAATTCTGTGCTAGAAACACGGTCCAAGTAGTCTGCAGGGAAATCTTCAGAGCTACTCAAAAATTTATTAAGAGCTATAGAGTTAAAGAGGCTTTTAGACACAGTGTGTAATCTTGTCAGAGCTGATTAGATCAAAACAAAAGTGATGGGAAGTCTTCCCTGTTAATGTGCAAAAAGCTCTCGTTAGTGCTTTATTATTCACTAGACTTGCACCTCCACTCTCAGTGATTTTGTCAACACAGAGCATTAATTATTAACGTTAGGCCACACTTCTTTTACCCTGGGGAGAAAGAAGGCGTCTTTAACAGAGGCAACTTGCAATCCCATTAATCGGACACTTGGGTTCTTTGATGAGCTGGAGATCGCCTCGCTGCTCCAAGGCAGTACTGTGCCTTCCCAAGAGCTACTACCCAGTGCCAGGATCACTTTGCCACCGGCCCCCTTCCATGGAGGATACACAACACCCACACAGACACTCTCCCGGTACAGCCTGTCCCAGGGCAGCACAGGGCTGGGGTGCAGAGGTGCCACCAGGCAGCCTAAGCCCAGAGAAGACTTGAGCAGGGAGTGCAACCACAAACGTGGGGACATGCTTCCTGCCAAAGCCTGTGCCCAGGTCTGGGTTGGTGTCCAAACAGCTCAGACACGAGGCCAGGTTTGGTTCAAGCACAACCTCAGCCATAAAATATCCCCTAGATCTACCCTCAGGGTCCTCCCCACTGGCTGCTCAGATACCACCTTCTCTCACTCCCCAACTGCTCCAAATATCTCCTGTAGTTAACACACCAGAGACGATGACAAAGCTGGACAAGGTCTCCAGGGATTAATCATTAACAGATGAGACACAGAGGATTCCAAATCTCTGATATTTATGGTCACGCCTATTATGTTTCTATAAAAAGCCCATGGATCTCATACATACATCTTACACGCGTGTGCTCAACAAGGAGGAGCTGGGCCTCTCACAGCATTTGGGCTGAAATCGCTGCCTTTTCACAGGCACTGGGGATGGAATTCAACTTCTTGTCGCTCTTTGTTCTGTCTTTACCAAATAAGCAATTATGATTTAGCTAGGAACTAACCAACGCACACAAACATCTAGGTGTGTGTGTGCCATAAAGGGAAGCCAAACAGGACTTTTCTTTCAGTTGGTTTCAGCCTATTACCCTGCCCCTCAGGACCTCTAACATATTTTTAGTAAGTACTGAATTCAAGCAAAGAACACAGGAGAAAAGCATGTCTGTGCGATTTCAATATCCCACTATTACCATGGTGGCATTTAACAGGACCTCTGTGTTTAAAGGTTGTTTTTTGGATAATCTCCTTTTAAGGTTTATATGATTTACATGATTTTAAATGACTGGGATGCACACGTCCATCTTACGACGTCTTGATTATTTTTTGGAGGGCTGGAAAGAAAGGCATAGTTTGGTCTTTTTTTGTTTTTCCTTCCTTGTTTGAAGCTATATGTAGGTAGTTAATAATTTTTAACTGTGGAATCCATTCTTTACAAAGCAGGAAATTGTTTTTCCACTGCCTCCATTCAGCAAGAAGGCTAAATATTTTCAGTGAAATAGAATGAATGCGGTACCAGATTAGATCCATGCAGGATCTCCCCATGACATGCCTTGCAGAGGGAGGCAATGGAGTTGGAAGGGGGAGGTTCTGATCCAAAGAGAGTTGAACCAGGTGAGTTTTGAAGCAGGTCCCCAAAGGACACGTAACAACGGAAGTTTAAAATAACTGCTGGTGAAAAGGAAAAAACAGGGAAACAAGGAATGGAGAAGGAAAATCAGGCTGGAGGAAGTGAAACTGGTGGGATAACCCAGAGAATATTCATCATGACCAATTACAACACGATCTACAAAACAATACTCCAGCTCTGCAAGGATTGTGCGTGAAGAACAGATCCTGCGAAGACAGGTCCCACGAGACATCATCTACCACCACCGTGGAGCTGGAAGTCTCGGTGCGGCTCCAGGACCTGGTGTCTCCTCCAGCCCAGAGCCTCCGGTCTCCCCAGTGTCCGCCAAAGGGCAGTGAAGTGTTCATGCATAACCATGTCCCTGGAAGCTGCTTCTGCAGTATTTCTGCTAAAAAGCCAGCAGACACTGCTGAACGTCCATCAAACAGTAGCCAGTCCAAGCACTACTGGTCAGAATCAAGACATGGAGAGAAGGAAATGCAGGCACTAGTCTAGATTTCCAATTAAGGCACCAAATTGGACTTCAGGAAATTACTCTGCAAGGCCTTGGGTAAATCAGATAACCTTTCCAGCTCTCTGAACATGCCTCAACACAGTTTGTGTATCAATATGACTGTAAAAAAAATCAACAGAGTTAATTAATGATCCTCAATCACACCTGCAGACGTACAGATTGCATTTTAAAGCATTTTCAGTCTGATAGCTTGATTTGTTTCAAAACAAAAATTTAAGATCTGCTTCAATTGCTGATTTTGTTTGCACTGATTAGATGAAGTCAGTGTAAAATCCAACAGTAGGCTGAATTTTAAGCAGTATAAAACTCCCTTCCCATCACATAAACATAGAAAATACAGCTAGACAAGAACACAAGAGATCATCTAAAATATCCCCTCTGCCCCCAAATGGAATCAATTCTACCTAAGCCATTCCCTCACAGCTCACATGCCCCCTCTGCTAAACTGTGTGCAGCTACAGCCACACTCCCTTCTCTCAGTCACACAGTTACAGCACCCAGCAAAACGAAGCCTCAGTCTCTGCTGGAATTCTGTCTGCTGCTATTAATACTTCAATTCCCCTAACAGAGCTTAAAAGAAAATTTACATGCCATGTAATGGCTCTGATTTTGTAAGTCATCAAAGAACAAGCTTTGCTTTTGATAATCTCTATTTCAAGCAACGCTATAATTTCTCTTTAAACAGGATTTATTTTTTCCACATATTCTGTTACTGGTTTGGAATCTCAAAATGTATTTTAGCTCCTTGGGGAAAAGCTCTGGCTATCCATCTCTTAACTACTAATCTGTTTTTTCTATTAAGACAGTTGAATTTCTCCTCCCTCAAACTTGTCAGCTATACTGATGAGTCATTAATTGATTTTTTTCTCCCCCCTTTTTTTTTTTTGAAACAACTACAGTAGGCTAAAATCAAGCAAGAAGCCTACTGAAGAATTCAATTAACTTTTGGCATCTTTGGTAATAAATAGTGCAGTATTGTATTCTGCCACTCTTTATTCTTGTTCTGGTGTCTGGAGATTGCCCAGATGTTTCGTGCTCTGTCTTTTTTTGCTGCGGAAGGCTTTTGCCTCCAGGCTGTGCAGTGCTAGCCTCTGCTCTCCTGACTCGAGTTAATCTACAAGGCTGTCAGAGCTGTCACATGAATGGTGAATCACGGCCTCTCGCTGCAATCGCTTCAACCCCTGGGGAAGTGCTCAGAGCAGACAGCTGCACAAACCCCCACCCAAGCAAAGTTTCTCCTGGACAAGGATTTTACAAATCAACTTTGAAATAATCGCAAAGCCTGACTGACAAGCCCCCGGTTTCTAAATAACAGAAATTTGTCAAAAACAAATTGGTTGTCTTTCAAACAGACACCTTGTTTGAGTCTTTTTTTTTTCCCCCTTCTCTTTCCTTTGCTGTCTTTCGTACTTCCAAACAACAACTGGATCCGTTTTCTTCTAAACAAACTTGAATTACAAAGGAATGTTGTTCTGCTATACTTAACAGATTTGCACATTTTTCCCTTTCTTCTTTAGTCTTTCCCAGTATAACATATAATCCTCTGCACCTGCAAAAGCTCCACAGACTGCTGACTGCCAAGAATCCACCACGTGACCCTGCTTCCATGACCAGAGATCCTGTGTTTAAAGAGAAAGGAAAATAAAAAGTTATTAAATGTTTGAATCTATCTGATCCTCATGTGAGTTAACTCTGAGGATGGGAACTTAAGTGAAAAGCTATTTTTGTGGCATTTTTCAGTGATGTAATAAGTGATTTTTCCCAAGGAACTTGTGTACTCGAACGAGCAGATGGAGTGAGAAAGATGTCTGGAGCTGAGGAAGGCTTGAAGCAAATTGCTTTCAGGGATTACATATGTATGTATTTAAGCCTGTGGCCATGCAACTTTGAAAATATTTTGTGAATTTGTTTTCTTTTTGGCAGATAAAACAGCGCAAAACTAAACACTGAGCAGGGAGGTGGCATGCAAGAACCTGTATCAGTTCAGCCCAGATGTACCAAACGCTCCCATTTAAAGAGAACAGTCCTCAGCACAGCGAGACAGAAGTCTGTTTGCTCCCCTACATCTCCTAAATCAACCCTTCCCATCGCACTCCCCAAAAAACCCCATCATTAAGAAATTACTCTTATCACTCCCATTATACCCCAAAGCAGGTGTATCTGTTTTTCACTCAGTGTCATTAGGGACCACACACCCTCCTCCTCCCCACCGCTCCCACACATCACGCTCCATCCAGTAACTCGCAGCACCACCTAAACACGCACGTTTAAAAAGACCAACAAGAACGGTGCCTTCAGAAACACCTCTCGAGAATCACGTCAAAGTTTGAGGAGCCTGATCAACACCAAAGGCAAACAGCTACGGTCACTTTGTTCTCTCCTCCTCCACTCCTCTGTCACCCCTTTCTCAGCTCCTTCAAAGCTCAGCCCTGGAAGTTCTCCAGAGGAGAAGTTTCTGGTTTATGAGGTGAGGATCAACACTGAGCAAAAAGGGATGGGATCCATGGCCCACCACAGAGAAATCAGTAATTATATTTTATAGCTGTGACACCATCTCATTCTTTTTGACACTGTATTACTTCTATACCATACAATTTTCTTACAAGGAACCCTATAGCTGTGCTAGGCTGAGATACAGCTCTCGGGTTCCTGGTCTGCGGTGCAGCCACGTTCCACCGAGGCACGAGAACTCATTTCCCTCATTTGCTGACTCTTCATTTAACACACTGTCCTTGTGACTCGCTTCTTCCAACTTGGCTGGTGGTTATACTTCAGCTGAATGTTTTAAAAATCAAACTGTTCAAGCAACAATGGCCAGCCACAATGTTTTTTGGTATCCTGCCACAGCCAAATAGCTGCAGCTCTGCTGCACGAAAGCACTAGCGGGATTTCAGTCTCTTTAATGCTAGCCATTCTTTTCCTAGTGTTTTCAGTAGGGGCTTCTATTCTGCTGTTCCCCACAGCAGAAACTGATTTTCATTCTCATAAATAAATAAATAAATAAACAGGGATTCCTAATTCTTCAAACCCATAAGATGATTTTCCGGGATAACTTACACTCTTTGGACACACAGTTTTCTTGTAACTCAGTCCCTTCTGGATGAAGGGCACATGCTTCCGAAGACAAAAGGTGCTACCTTCCAAAGCATCTAGGTATCGTCGAAGCATAAATCTCACCTTCAAAACCCATTTTCACTTTGGATGCTTAAGAAACCTCAAAATCAAAGCCAGCATTTAGAAATCTAACTGCTGGAGCCAATTCAGAAAAACAGAATTTTTTCATTTAACATTCTCCAAACATGTATACATCTACAACTAAACATGAGAACTCCGAATGCTTACTTTTGTCATCCAAAAAAAGCACTATGGAAGACCTACTGGAGGGCTCAGAGGAAAACCAGCATATTAGTTGAGACATTCATGGCTTTGCCTGAAGCCCAGCCTATTCTCAGTCACGATAGTGTTTTATGTTAATGGCATTGTCCACAGAAGTAGGAAAAGGTCATTCTTATTTCTTGGTGCGTAGCTCTGATATCTAGTTTCTGATAAAGGCTGGCTTCCCAGTACAGTTCTGCACAAAGAGCCTTTGCCAAGCAAGGCAAACGGCGATGAATTCCTACACTATGCCTGCAAACTGACAACAGGTATTTGCAACAGTCACGCAACACGGAAAGTTGTTTAGAAGGGTGGAGCCAGGAACAGTTCAATTAAATTAGAGAAAAGGAGAATTGAATCTGGAGAACAGGAAGAAAATTCCCCACCAGTGAGGTCTACTGAACAGCAGAGCCAGCCTCCCCAGGGAGGAGAGGAAAGCCCTCTCCTTTGAGTCATTTAAAAATAGACTGGAGAAGGCACTCACGACTGTACTGTGGGGAATAATCTTGCGCTGGCAAGGGCAGGATGAGATGACTTCATGCATTTCTTTCCATTTCTGATTTCGTCGATTCACCCAGAGTTCCAAACCTGAACATGCAGAAGAGCGAGAGAAGCAGGGCGCGAAGACATCATCCCAGAGGAAGTCGGGAGGAATAAGTGTCACAGGGCCAAGAGGACTGGCAGGCCTCTGGTCCAAATTCCTTCTAACCACACTCAGGCTGCAGGCCAAGGCGACGTGCCGAAGGTCACACATGTTTCCTCTCATAGCCCACGGACTCACTAATTGACAGGGCTTTGTGGTAAGTTGGCCTTGTAAATTCTTCAAAAACCCTTGCCTTTGTGCTGCACAGAGCGTAGTGGTTAATACTACTAACATGAAGCAAAGCACAGAAGCTACTAGAGGCTTGTAGATCACTGTAAATCCAGGGTGTTGTTCCTAGAAAAAAATACAGGATTCACATATATCTCTCCCCAATACACTGACTCTGAATGGATGGTTATTTGCAGTGATACATCATGCTCTGCCATCACAGATGCTGCACAAATTCAGAAGAGCTTTCCACTCGGGGGGATGACGGTGAGAGCCCAGGTCACACAGAAGACGGGTGTCAGAGCCCGGCTTAGAGCCCGTGGGTCACGGCTCCTTGCTCAGGGCCTCCAAACAGGGCAGAAGCACCTGCACAACGCCTGCAGAAGCCCTGCAACTACACTGCTTTTTCTACGTATCTTGCGATATGAAACATAAAACAGGAATTATGATTCCATTTGGATCAGCCTGGGTTCCCCACCACCATCACCAAATGGCTCCTACCTGCTTACACCGTGCTCCCACAGCCTTCTGCGGGAGATAACGAGACTTTTCCAGGGCAATACCCGTTCCCACTAGCATTCACAGCCTAGGAAAGCAAAATGACAAGGAGCACATTACATGAAAGCGGGCCGCCATGCCAAGCCTGTGTCATGTGTATTCTATTAAGCTGAAGGCTGAATAGAAGACTTTGTTTTCCACTTCAAAGGACCCCATCCCAATCTCTCGCTCTTCCCTTATGAATAACAAATTGGAAATAAATCTTCTGGCTGAAGCGCATGGAAACTCGTACAGTTGGGGCCCTCTGCAGCTTCCCAGCTCAATCACATGCTAATTTTTTTTGTAAACACTTTTATGTGATATATATGTAAATCTCACTGTGCGTTGCTGTGCCATGTAAAGCCATACAGCGGGTGTGTCCTCAAGGGATGGGACACAGCAGGAAGCCTGAATGCAGATTTCCAGTTATTCACAGGGATAATGTTCACAGAGAAGGGTCAAGTTTTATATGTGGGCAGAGCCTTACTTTTCTTCCAAACGAGCCCATTTCACACTATCCCATAGGTCAGTGTCCTCTCCTTCTCACCACAAACATTATTTAGCTCTTTTGATACTGAGAATACAAGGACACCCCATTCTGCTGGGCAGAAGGCACACTGGAAAAGTCCCTTAGGATATACCAAAGGCTTTTCAATCTAAAAGAAACAAAAAAAAATACAAAGAAAATATTACCACAGCCTTTAAATACAGGGGGAAGTACATGGTGCCCACAAACATGGGCTCCCTCATGTGTTCTGGACACCTGCCCTCCAGATGGACAGTAACCTCTGATCAGTTCACACAACTCCTTGTCTGTGCATGTCTAGCACCGTTGTCATATGTTTGTGGTAAAAGCTTGGGGCAGAAACCATCTGTCAGCTTTGAGCTCCCAACACAGTTGAGTCTTGGTCCATACTCAAGACACCCAAGCTACGGTGACCCTGGGGAAGCGCAACACTCGCATCTCTCTCAAACCTGATGACCAGAGCGACACGCTAAATGCTGCAGGAGGCATCACAAAGGATGAGACACCTCTGCCTTGGTCCTGCCATTCTTCAGGCACTAAGGGGCAAACAGACCTCGTGGCATACTCAGGCTTGCAGCTGAGTAAATATTACACTTCACTCCAATGATAAGCATCTGGAGTATTTCTACAGACCTGTGTTCAAGGCAGTGTTCAACTTCATGACAACAGAGGGGAGAAAAATCTCTCCCAATTAATCACATGGATTTGTGTGCATGTGCAGTCCTGCAGACTGAGGAAAGAAAAGCATTTGCACGTTTGCCTTTGTTACCAGGTATTTTACTTGTGACGTGGCATTCTGCATGGCTGATCCTTACAGATGCATGGCACATTAGCTACAGGAGAAGCAAAAAATTCTTAAGCTGATTGCAGTTTCTATACATGAAGTAAAGCACAGAGCATAAAGCCAAATATCCTCCCCTGTGAATTTTCATGTGCATATGTGCAGCATATGTGCAAGTACATGTATATATTATCTTGTAGGAAACATGCAAGCCCAAACATGGGAAGAATTCAATGATCTAAGTTCACTGTTGATATAAATGTTGAGACTCCATTTGCACTAATGGAGTTGTGCTCACTTATGCCAGTACTGAATTTGGCCCTAGAATTAAATCCACCCAAATCCTAGATAAATTGAAAGAGAACAAAACTTGGCCTACATGCAACAGCATATTTTTCATGTTAAAGGCATTTCATTCCCTTTTTCTCCCCATATAATACAGCATTGATGTCTGTGACCCATTTGGATGTAAATCAAAATGGATGTGCTAAAAGCCTGGTTAAAGAAAATGTCCTTGTAACAGTGTTCCCATGGCAAGGCAGAACATAATATGCCAGCTACAGTCTGTTTCCACAGCACGGAGGGCAATGTGCGTCTGGGGAGGAAAACTCACTTCTGAAAAATCACTTCGAAGTTAGGACGGCTTTCCTTGAGCATCTGCACTGCTACTACCTGCTAATAAATCTGTGCTTCATGCAGGCTCATGTGAATAAATTACATGGAAGGATTACATGAGTCTTTTAAGGCTCTTTAGCATGAAGCAAGTGTCCGAATCATCTGATGAGCCCTTCGCATTGCTGACATCCCCACACAGCATTGGCAAGCTTGGCAACTTCTAGAGAACCACTTGTGGTCAAGGCATGACCAAGAGCACCACAATCTGCTTCTGTATCTACAAACTGCACGAATTTGTTTTATTTCTCCCGTTTCAAACGCTGCATTGATTATCCAAGACCGTCTGACTTTCTCAAACGTGTCTGCAGCACTGTAAGTAAAGATTGCGTTTGTTTCTTTCTCATCGGTGCAGATGGCATGTAGCATTCCTTTGCCTGTGCTTCAAGACTATGTGAATGACATTTATTGTGACACTAATAAAGCTAGTGCTGTTTGGTGAACAGCTGTTGGGTGCATTGTTCTTCTGTGAGCACAATGCAGCTGTTATGCTAATGGCATGAACACGCCGCACTGGCCGCAAGTTGCATCACGCCTCGAAACGTCGCTGTGGAAATCTGTTTTCCTGCTACAGCACCTAAGCAAATGGCAGACACATTAGCGTTATTTAACGATTAGGACTTAATCCCTCAATCAGCCTGACCATTGCTCAAAGAAGGAGCGAGGTATGGTAGAACACTTACTGCACTGCCTGCGAGGAAATGGGTTTAAAGCTGGGCCTGGGTTTCATTTACTCTTGACTTACATAAGCAGAAAAGAAATACTAGTCTGCCTCTCCAGGAAAAAAAGGAAAGTCGTCACCTATCTAGAGAGAAGGGGAAAAGCCATTTTAGGCCCAGTTTGGCTACATTCCTCTATTTTCTACTTACCCTGTTAAACAGCAACAGATTTGATTGTAAATTTTAGGAGGGAAATAGCATGTGGTTTATTGTTTCAATGGTGGAGTTATAAACACGTATTACTGCCGAGAAGCCCAGCTGCGTGGGCAGAAGCATTCTGTAAACTTTTCATTCCTACTCACTTTAAAAATCAGGTGCAATGAGCTCCAACCAAGATTAGAGTCTGCATTGTGCGCGGAAACCCACCAAACAGTCTTTGCACAGCGCGCTTCAAGGTGCGTCTTAAAGGTCTACTAGCCCTCAAAGGAGACTTTTTCACACTCAATACTGCCTGCAGCAGCCACCCAGCAGTGGAGCTTTCTGGAGGGGGGGACCAAGAGAACCGAGCAAGCGAGTACATGTGCCAGAGGTTCTGTGTAGTTCAGAGTTCAGTCCACCACCAGCACATTTCCCAGGCTCTGTTCCTCTCAACACAAGTGCCTTGTGCCTGAGGTGACAGCTGAACTCAGGCAAAAAACAAGGGCCCTAAGGAAGTAGAAGCCCAACACCAAGCCTGCTCTCCATCGTGTGGGCAGAAACCATTTAGGAACAACATGGGGAACTTCTGCTGTGCCCCAGCCAACCTTCTCATGCTGCTCAGCTTCACAAGGGAATGGCTGGACTCTTCCCATCCTCTTCACTACGATAACCCACTTATTTCACAGAGTGGAAACATGCCCTGTGTGTGCTCTTCAAACCATTCTCTCTGAAGCCACCAAAGCATTCCTCTGCTAGTTCAGCATCTTACACTACTATCACATGCCACCAGAGTCATTACAAAATCCCACCAGAGACTTGCCCACATATTTTAGCTCCCCATCTCTAGCTATTGTCAGTAAAGGTCCAAACAAATACCTCTCTTTGCAACCTGTTAATTTGTAAGACTTGAAGATTTGAGAAAACTATCTTATTGCTGAAGTCAGTGACAAAAAAATCACATGTTGGCTCGCTATAGCTGCAGGAGGACTAAGAGCTTTAGGTTTTGTCCAACACCAAGACACAAAGAGGGAACCTCCTGGCCACACAAAGTGTCAGAAAAAAACCCAGAACATCGCGTTGAGCATGGTCAGTCCAAGATTTTTCTCCTTCCTTGCAGGTGCTGGGCCAGTGGAGCAGCACAGTCTGTCCCAGCCCTCCCAGAGAGGCCGTTTGTACAAGAGCAAGACTCGCTGGTACACACAGTCTGCAGGGTGAAGTCAGCCTGACCCCTGACGTTACAAAGCCTTAGCAATGTCCAAGTGTCTCATCTCAGAACCGGATATGTCTAATGAAAAAGACAAAAGGTTCTTAGGATAGTAGGTTTGGTTTTGTCCTTTAAAAAAAAACAAAAACCACAACCACACACAACCAACCAACCAAAAACTTCTTATTTTTCAAGTCTACTCATTTGAGACCTATATCCTCCTGTCCTGCCTGTTCCTTCCCTCCTCACTGGCTACCAGAGCCTTTTCCCCAGACACACAATACATTTGGTCTATAAAGAGAGCATTCTCCACATACAGCTGCCTTGGAGTAACTCTCACAGGCTCTGAAGCGCAGCCAATATGCA